CAATAATGATCTAGATTTTAATGATATAGTGTCAGGGTGAGGAGTGGAGCAAAGGATCACTATAAGCCAGGTAGCCCGGGAAGCGGCTGGCAGAGTGGGGCATATACTCTAGATTGAAGAAAGCATTTAGAATAGCTCTGGAAGAGGAGAAAGAACCATGCTGCAAAAGGAGCAAAAGGAGCAAAGACACGGGGGTGAGGATGGATATAGATGGGAAATGTCCAAGCCTTGACTTTCCCTTTGCATACATAGATACATATCTACACACACACATGCATTAATGATAGATAATTCGATAGATAGATAGATAGGTCCATAAATAGATAGATGCTGAGTGGAGAACCTCATGTTGAGAAGCAAAATTCTTTGATGATATTTTAGGAAAATTTATTACTTTCTATTTATATTATTTTTAAAATTCATGAAGGAGAAATTTTATCTTAATATAACAAACACCGAGAAATAGAGACGGGATGGGATTTGATAACCTGGCAATGTAAACTTTATTTTACCACTTTTCTGACTGAGAATGAAATTTTGATTAGACATTCATGCCACACCTGGAGTGAACCACCCATGTCCTTCCTCTTCCTAAACTTGAATTAAAAAGGCAATGTATCAGTGACTTATGCAGTGCAGTTTCAATATAAATTGGCATAATTTTTCTGCAGAAAAAAGCAAACAAATGCCCCAAGAGTAAAATAACAAAAAAAAAAAAGAAAAGAAAATGTGTATATACTAATGATTCTACTGCTTGGAATCTATCCAAAATAAATAATCGGATAATCCAGGTAATTAAAATGGAATCAACCTAAATGTGAACTGTAAAAGATTGATTAAGTAAATTAGGTTATATCCATATGGCTATTATTGCTTAATTCCAACCATGAAAAATCATCACTATTGACAATTGTTCTAAGTTAAGGTCAAGTGGAGCTTTATTCTTGATTAGCACCCCTTGGGATTGGGCACAGGTACTCTATGTGGGTAGTCTATACCTCATACTTCATGAAATGCTTAAATATGTTCATCTCCTCAACTATGTGAGACAGGGAAGCTGTTCCACTAGGCTGATATGACTATTTGCTACCCATGTGCCTCCAGTGGGAAGGTTCAGTTTGATTACCAAGTAGGAAGTTACTCTTTCCATGTAATGGAACTTTAAATACCATAGTATAGCAAGATGTAAAAAGAAGATATAAATAAGATGGCCCACAGAAATCATCTTTGCTTTACCTGTGCCCTAAAGAAAAAAATTTGATTAAGAAACTAGCTAAGAAAGAAGCAGTCTTTGATGACTCAGAGAATTACATAAAGCAGCCACAATTGTAAAATTAAGATTTCTTCACATATAGGCTATATATTTTTATGAATGCTTTTACACTTAACTCCAAGTGTTAAAGTGAAAGCAATCGAAGCTAGAAATTCTCACACTTTTTATGGAGTTCTTTCTACCTTTGAAGCTTTCAAATGCCTGCTCATTACAGTTTTAAATGCACTTATTTAAATCTAGCATTTATTTTCCTTTTTCTCCATGTAAATAATGCTTTGGTAACATCATACATTTGCTTTGGAGAAGATGCTGTTTTGTCACAGAATAGCTTTGGAGCAGTAGTCAGAAATCTTTTATTAACCCACTAGAGGTCTGGTGCATGAAATTTGTGCACAGGTGCAGTGCCTAGGCCTGGCAGATGATTGAAGCATGAGCATCTGGTGTGGAAGCGCAGATCCCAGCTAAACTCCGGGCCCTGGGCAGCTCCTGGGCCCTGGGCCCCTGTGCTCCCCCCTCCGCCTGAGTCACGGTGCCTGAGTCCCCACATGGAAATGCTGTGAGCATGGCCAGATGCTGCAGGCTTGGGGGCAGCGTGGGCCTCTGGGCTGCCCAGCGGTGCTGCACAGAAAATGGGCAGGCAGCACACTCTCTCCCAGCAGGCCTTGCAGACTGGTTCCTGAGCAAATTCACGGGGAGCCCTACCAGCCCCTGCGGTCCCGTGGCTGTGGCCCAGCTCACCCAGAAGATGCCTTGTGGGCTCCTTGTGGGTGTCCGGCACCTGAGTGCTTCCCTGGCATGTGAGCCCTGGCATCCCGGGGAGGATGCCAGGGGGCATGAAAGCAAGCTTGGTGGACACCCCGCATTCTCACCACACCTCCGTCCCCATCACCCTCAACCCCAGGTAGCTGGAGAGAGGTTGCAGTGCATCGTTGACACCCACCATATTCCGTGCCACCCCCTGGTGGTCAGCACATGTCATAGCCAGCGTTCCAACTCCCGGTTGAAGGGAAAATTTGCATATTAGGTTTTTATTATATAGGATTCCAAGAGTATCCCTCTCTACTTGAGATGACTGGCCCTTGTGCTCCGCAGCGGCAAGTCTCTGATCTTAATGCTCTCTGTGTCGCAGCAGTGCCCAACAGTAGAAGATATTAAACCAATGTTTGTGGCAGGAAGAACACTTTGAGGACAACCCCTACTCCATCTAAGTTGTTCTATTCATTGTCCCCTGAGTACATTTTGCCCCTTCTCCCTGCCCATTGGTTGCCGTCTATCCTATTACATTGATTAAAATCCGTTTCTTCCCTAAGTGTCACTATTTTTATTATCCTCTATTGGTTAGCTGATTCCTCTTTCGTTAAACACCTTGGAGGTTTTTGTCAGTTCCATTTCCAATATCACATGACATCTTGCATTACAAACTTTCATAATTACATGCATTACATATCAGTAATGGTTCTTTCATATAAGCAATAGACTAGTGGAGATGGAGGCTCACATAATTAACAGGAAACTTGTACAGCAGGCTACAGATCATGATCCAAGAGAATTCAGGAAGGATAAGATTTAGGAAGTAGGAACCACAATGACTTTCCAATAGCTGGAACAGGCATGGTCAGGTGGGATTGGGCACAAGTACTCTTTATGGGTAGTCTAGAAAGGAGGGAGCAAACAGTGGTATTGAATTTACACACCTGAAGAGGGAGGAGATTTCCAAAAAGGAAACTGAAGGATCAATAGGAAGAAACATGAATGCTGAACAGCCATCTATTTACTAAACTCTAAGTAGATGATTAGCCTTATACTACTTCATCTGTTAAAAGAATTCTTGGACAATAAGTGGTCATATATGTGCTAATAGAAATAAAAATATATTAATATTTTTGAGATGATACTAATAGCTATTTAAATTGTATAGCTGGGCTAGATGTATCCATGAAAGCCGTCATTATTCTGATGCTCACATGAGTCAAAACCAGGTATGCAGACCATCTAGAAGGCTATTTTCTAAAACCTGTGATCCCTGTGCACTGAGGGTTGTGCACAAACTGGGAAGTCCACACATGAACAGGGAATGTATATAACAATACTTTGAGTGTGGTATCTATTGACGGTGTTTAGTCAATTAGCAGTGGTTTCTCCGCTCCAATTAGAGTTCAGGCTTCTCCACTAGAGCAGAGGGTGTTTTACATTTGCCTTTTTTACTTGCCCTTTATTTATCATCCAGCTTTGTCCAAAAACTTCACAGAGGAAAGATAAAGCCTTATGTTTAAATCTCTTTCCATTGTTAAGATAAGAATCTTTGGTGATTCTTAGGTGATCTAAGTGTTTGGTTTTCACTGCAGCCAAAGAATTGGCTTATGGCACTATTTTCTTTTTAAAAAAATGTATGTATTTATTTTTAGAAAGAGAGAGAGAAACATCGATTTGTTGTTTATGCATTCATTGGTTGGTTCTTGTATGTGTCCCAACTGGGGATTGAACCCCCAACCTTGGCGTATTTGGACGATGTTCTAACCAACTGAGCTACTAGGCCAGGGCCTGGAGCTATTTTCTTTAGGTTGACATCTTTATGATTAAGAATTTAAACAGAATAAATTATGTTTTAGTAACCACTTTTTTAAAAAAATTATACAATGAATAATCCTTACCAGCTGCTAAATTTGAAAAAAAAAAAAAAGTAACAAAAGGAGTTGACAGCAACAAAAATCCCAGCCTTTTCAAAATTCAGAAAATTTGATGGAAAGTAAATGCATTCACCAGACTCATTTTGTGTAAGGAATATTTTCAGTGTTCTGCGGCATTACTTAGTTATGTCCTCATTTCGGAGTTAAACCATACAAATAAAGGGAAAATGACAGGGCCAGGAAACTTGTATCCAACCCCCTTTCCTATGGCTGTGCCAGCTGCCAAAGTGCTGACCAAAGTTGAAAGGTCAGCTGTCATCTGTGGCAGATGTGCTTTATTATGATAAACACCTAGATGCTGGAAATGGTTCTGTTCAAAGGTGGTTTATAATTTAGGTGAGAAATAGAAATGTGAGGGAGCTTCACTGCTGGGAATCTTATTTCATATCTGAGTGCAATTAACCAGCTGATAAACAGCCTTTTGTTTTCCATCTGAATGGCCAATGTCCATTCATTTGGGATACTACCTTGTCAAATGGGCAACAATAACAATAAAGTTTATGTATCTTGGACTCTAAAGCCTGTAGTAACCTCCTGCACTGAAATCAAGAACCTGAACTGAACATGCAAGATAATTATCTCCCAGAATCCACCCGATGGCGAGGCTATGGAAGATTATCTTGTTTTGAACTAGAAATAAGGATAAAACTATCTCTTTCTTTCAATGACTTTATTTTAGTATAATCAGAATATGATTACAAGCCTTAGTAATCTCTATTCCACATGCTTCTGTAGCTTAAACTTGAAGATATACATAATCACATTTCAAAAGATAATCTAAGTTTTAAAAAGCTATGACAATGTCTTATTTTCTGAACTGTAGCCATTTTCTAAGCACTTGTTGGCACTGCTGAGGACTTTTCGTCTTCTCTTCACAAGCTTTAAATTTTGCATCTTCACTTTATTTTTTTCTCCTCAATCATTCATTTTCCAGAGTGCCATATTTATCCTTTTTTCTAAATAATGTCATTCATTCCTGTTTTTGCTTAATGTAATATTTTCATAAATGAAGATGACAAATTATTATTTTTTTCTTACAGTGATGATTGAAAAGAAAAGCCAGCAATATCCTCCTGCTTGGTTTCCCTTGAAAAGAATGAGCAAAGTGATCTGTGTAGCCTTGTAACCAGGGAACAGATTTCCTGTGTAGGCTCACAACTCTGGAAAGGTAATTGTTATTGTCACAGAATTTCTGGTAAAATTTGTGGAAGAAGGGAAATTACATGATTAGTGTTGACTCAGATATGACTAGGTCAGCTTACGAAGGGAAATCAATGTAGATTTTTGTTTATCTCCCAATAAATATTTATTGAGTACTACTATGTGCTATTTACTTAAGGATAGAAAAATGAATAATGTATGGCTTCAGTTCCCAAGGACTTAGTAATCTAGCATGTTTGGTTGTGCTGGTAGAGTAGTGGTAAATAATGATGATGATTATCAATAATTTTGGTTTCGTTGGGAAATAAGTATATCACCTGGGACTTGTACACATATCACCTGAAAAATCCATTCTAGTTCAGTTCCTTAACCTATTTTGTCTATTACCATAGATTTGCTTAAATGTGATGCAATAATCATTTATGTCTATCACAAGTCTTATTTACATGTAATGAGCATCAAAGTTTTCAAATGATTTCAAAGGCAAGGCATAGAATGGTGAGCTCAAATCTTAACCAAATGTAGGAAACTTTTCTCAGCTCCTACTCTGTCTGGGAAAGTTCTTCATGCTCTATTAGAAATATGCTCATTAGCATAAAGGACAATACTCTTGTGGACATGGGGCATGCATATATATCTAAATAACGTACATGGATAGATGACAGTCAATGAGGTATAGACCATGTATCGAAAATAAAAATTCAATACTTCAATTTTAAATAGTAGATCATTATGGAGTAGGGTTAGTCATAGAGAAAGGCCATTATTAAATTTTACATATACTGTAGTATTGAACTTGTTTTACTAAAAAAGGAGGAAGATATGCATGTTCTCAATAATGAAAATAGAGAAAGAAAAAAAAACAATATTGAAAAATTAATTTTGTGAATCATTTTAGGAAATGTCATACCCACTTAGCACTTTCACTTCAACCAAATAATTGGTTGGTGGCACTATTTTCTTTAGGTTGAAATCTTTATGACGAAGAATGACTACTATTGCTATGAATTGATTTTCCAGTGACAATTACTTTTACAGTATAAATAATTCTTACCTTCTCTTGTTTACCAGTTTAATTTCTTACCTGCTAACTATACTCGGTAAATAGTTATTACGAATCATGAAGTGTTTGTTGACTTTTACATGACTAACCCTGGGCTGGGTTTTATAGAGCAGAACACAAATGTAAGACATGATCTTTTCCTGCAAGGCTATTCTAATAGTATTGGGTAGCCTACTGTCTGGCAGTAGATCTGAAAATACAATTATTGGTAAGATGGAAAGAGATATGTTGTTACTGTAGGAAGACAGAGCTTATATCTAAGGAGTTTTGTGTCATAGGTCACATAGACTCTAGTAAAATGACCAAAAAAAATTTCTCTAATCATACTTGAATTTTGTAGTCATCAAAGGGTGTTTGCTTTCAAAAGGATTATTATACTACCAGCTTTCTTGCCTTGGGGAATGTCAATTAAATCCAAATTATTTTATAACAGAGATTTTGCCATTTTTAGAGACAGGATAAGTGAACTAGAAATGACAAAAATCACATGAGAAATGAAAAAATAATGTTTGATATTTACCTGTAAATTGCTTATTTTTCAGTTAACTGTTGGTTTATCCTTGTCAAATGTCCCCATTTGCAGACGTTTTTTAAAAACCAGGCTGTTTTTATTTCTGGTTAAATACAATTTAGTTTCTTTTAATGCATGTTTGTGCCCAGTGCTGTCTGAAGAGCTTTGTGTGATCTCTGGTATCTACTATGTACTTACACAGAATCACTTTCAGTGTGTGTGGCCTGGTTCCTAACAATCTATCGATTCATTGAATTTCAGAAAGACATCAATTGATTCTTTATGCGGCCTGGCAGAGCAATTCTTAATTTTTGTCTGTTTCTTTCCAACATCAGTCTTAAGAAGAAAGGGTTTTCCTTACATTGCCTTGAAGGGTTTACTGAATCATACATCACCAAGAACATTTTAAAGCTTTATTTTGTCTGTTATTTAAAGTGGAAAATGCTGTCCCTTAAGACACTGGCACTCTGCCATTTGTCTCCAGAATATTTCATGGTTCACTGTCAGGACTGCTGATTTTTCTAGAAGAACATATGGACCATTTTGGAGAAGTTTTCTGTAACATTCAGATGCTGAACATGTAGTATTATTTACATTTTAGACTTACTGAAAAGTATATTGAAGCATGATGACACAAAGGGAGGCTTGTGAGTTGGAAGACAAAAGGGATAAATTTAATTGAAGTAGCATTTAGCATCATTAGAATGTATTCCTGTGATTTTATTTTTCTTCACTGGTTTCTCCTCCTCCTCCTCCTTCTCCTCTTTCTTTTTCTTCTGGTGATTTCAAATCACTATAAAAAATTTAAAGTGAGAGGAAAATCCTCCTGTACCCTGTGATGTTGATAAATAAGTCATTGGAATATAGTAGGAGTTAGCACATACCTGAGGATGGTTGTGCCATTAAAATTGCATCCAGTCAATATGGGAATACCTCACCTGACCTGCTCTGTAAACACTCTTCTCACTAAAACACCTGTTTGGTCTGATGGTGCATATTTCAAAGGAATAAAACAAAATGCATTTAAAACAACCCATTAAAATTAAAGTATGACTGCATTCTGAATGGAAGTTCTAATTATAACTCTAAAAAAGAATAGTTTCCCCCTTTTGTACAATACATTGTATTGATGACTATAACTGGGCAGACTCTAGGGAAAAGAAACTAATTTCTTATACTACTTTCTACTAGATTATCTCTTTGCTGGTCATTTGGTGAGCAACTCATTGATCCACTAAGTTCTGAAACTAGCTGGCTCTCAAATGAGAGCTAATCTGCAAATGGTACTATGGTGAGAAAGGAAGAATGGAGAAGTACAAGAAAAGAAGATAAGAAAATAATAACCATGTTCTAAATCTGGAAACCATTGGTGGCTCCATAGTCAGGGACCTCAGCATTGAAAGATTTTTGCCCAAGCAAACCTGGGGTCTTTCTAGATCTTGAGCAGTCGAGGTGTTGTCAGGAGAGAGGTGGTGAAGGTCTGAACAAGATGAAAAAAAGGAAAATAAAAATAAATGAAAGAACCTTCATGTCATCACAGAAGGCATAAAATCAGAGATAGATTTGAGAGAATGTGCCCTTTGGAGAAACCAAATGTGAGTATGGCAGTGTCTTAACCACTTCAATTAGTTGATTCTCTCTCACTTGTGTTGCAAATAAATATATCATCTCATTGTTATCTTGTCCTTAACCTATGAGTCTCATTTTGCCACTTGGCCCTGACAACAACTAGGGTGAGTTCATTCTCTCTGAATTCTCTTGTTGGTTAGTGGCACACACTTGCTCCCTGAAGATTCCTTTAAGGGAGAGGAATGGAGACATGGGAAGAATCCCTACAGGCAAAAGTCTGGAAAATTAGCAGAATCCCTAACCACCCAGGCCACATGGGATGTGGGAAACAGTCACGTAGACCAATGGTCGGCAAACTCATTAGTCAACAGAGCCAAATATCAACAGTACAACGATTGAAATTTCTTTTGAGAGCCAAATTTTTTAAACTTAAACTATATAGGTAGGTACATTGTTATTAACTTAATTAGGGTGCTCCTAAGCTGGCCTTTGCTAAAAACGTCCTCAATCTGAGGGGTCGACCTCAGCGAACATACACCCACTTCTTCTAACGCCACTTCTTCAAAATAGACTCGCCCAGGCCGAAAACCGACTTCTGCGCATGGGCCACAAAGTTTCAATCACACTGTACGTGTGCGCCCGCACATGGTATTTTGTGGAAGAGCCACACTCAAGGGGCCAAAGAGCCACATGTGGCTCGAGAGCCGCAGTTTGCCAACCACTGACATAGACTCATTCACTCCCGCAGCAGCCTAGCAGACAGGAGAGACAAAGGAGGAAAGGACCAGCTCCCCCTCACTTTCTAGAGGCAAAGTCAAGAGAAATAAAGACAATTTGTTGAGAAAGGTTCAAAGTGGTCGTTTAGTTGTCTGATTGATGACTGGTTAGTATATTTCTTTTCTCCATAGACCACAATGCGATTTTTTATATTATGACCCACGTTATATTAAAATGGCATCTGTCTTTCAGATCAGTGTGTTCTCATTAAAGTTGGGTTAGTTAAATATGTATATTTATACCACCACTACCCTTCCCATTGGCTAATCAGGGCAATATGCAAATTAACTGCCAGCCAAGATGGCGGCCGGCAGCCAGGCAGCTTGAAACTAACATGAGGCTTGCTTGCTTCAGTGACGGAGGACTCCAACGTCCCCCGCCTGCTGCTGCAGGCCTCTGAGCTGCCACTCTAAGCAACTATGTAACAAATATAGAAGCTAAACAAAACCCCAGAAACCTGCTTTAGTTGCCGGGTTCAGCCAGCAGGATTGCAACATTGTAAGCAAAGGCCAGAAACTTACTTTCAGCAGCGGAGGCCTAAGAGCTGGAACCAAGCCTCAAAGCTAAAGCTGGCCCAGAATAAAGAAAAAAAGGAGCGGTTGGGAGCTTCAGTCACCCCCAGCCTGAAAACAGCCCTCAGCCCCTCACCCAGACTGGCCAGGCACCCCAGTGGGGACCTCCACCCTGAAGGGTGTGTGACCAGCTGCAAACAGCCATTATCCCCTCACCCAGGCTGGCCAGGCACCCCAGTGGGGACCCCCACCCTGATCCAGGACACCCTTCAGGGCAAACCAGCTGGCACCCACCCGTGCACCAGGCCTCTATCCTATATAGTAAAAGGGTAATATGCCTCCCAGCACCGGGATCAGCGTGACAGGGGGCAGCGCCCAAACCCCCTGATCGCCCTGCGGCTCTGTGTGTGACAGGGGCGGCGCCCCAACCCCCTGATCGGCCCTGCTCTGTGTGTGACAGGGTGCAGTGCCCCAACCCCCTGATTGGCCCTGCTCTGTGCGTGACAGGGTACAGAGCCCCAACCCCCTGATAGGCCCTGCTCTGTGCATGACAGGGTAAGGAGCCCCAACCGCCA